GTGCGCAGTGAAATAGCTCACGTTTTTATACACGCAAACCTTTGATAGATCCGGCCCTTAATCCCAAGTAGGGTCGCATGGGGTGCTGGGGCCTATCTCCAGCAGTCAATGGGCAAGAGGCGGGGTACACCCTGGACAGGTCGCCAGTCCATCGTAGGGCAACACAGAGAAAAACAGGACAAACAACAACTCACGCACACACTCCCACCTAAGGATAATCTAGAGAAGCCAATTAACCTAACAGTCATGTTTTTGGACTGTGGGAGGAGTACCTGGAGAGAACCCACACATTCTCAGGGAGAACATGCAAACTCCATGCAGAAAGACCCCGGGCTGGGCTCTTTAGTTCCCACCACAGAATTTGACATGAATTTCTGTGGACCTGTATTCTTTAGTTCTTCAACTGTTCTTCCTCCAATCTGCACTGAGCTGTATGGAGGAGTTCATGGTCAACCTGATGACTGCAAGGTGTCCTGGTTCTATGAATGCAAAGCAAGCCCAAAGCAAGGACAATGAGTTTCACCTGATATTGCTGTTGGGTTTTCCTTAAACAAGCTGCTGTGCACTTCTGCGTCGTTCCTTCTTCTGCTTTATGCAGATACTGCTGCAGTTTTTCTTTTTTCTTTAGAGAGCAGAACCATACTCGTTAAATCTTCTTCTAACATCGCCGTCATGAACCTTTAACCTGCTAACTGAGGCTTGTAGAGTGTCAGCTGGACTTCTTGGGTGTTTTATCACTCAGTAATGCATCTCTGAGCTGGGGGTAAATTTGCTGGAACATCCACTCCTGGGAAGATTGGCGGCCGTCTTGAATGTCATCCACTTCTTGGTAATCATTTCTCTCTGTGGAATAATGGCCCTCAGTTTGAAACTGTATTTATAACGCTTCCTGGATTGAAGTGCAGTTCAACGGTTACTTTTATAAGGTAAGAGCAGGTGCCTTTCAGTCTGGGCATTGTGCTACCATGAACCAGTTACCCTCAGAGCAGTAAAATTGTCATGGAGTTTCTACTCACTGTGATGATGACCAGTTAATGCATTTCATTTGCAGCACTTGGATGCTGCTTTCTCTCTGAAGGCAGCAAAGGTGCAACTAGGTTTCCAGACCTGACTGCGGGTCTCAGTTAGTTGGGTCAGTTTTCAGGGATTTTTAGTAGCAGACGGGGAACTTTAGCTTTGTAAAAAACATGTACTTAGCTGTCAGGTTATGTGGCACCGTTTCCCTGCCTGGTAAGAAACATGCAGCAGGTGAAGTGCCTATTTTCTTCTTGAGTGGGTCTGTAATGACACCCTGAGGCTCTGACACAAACCACTCCACTCTGAAACAGCCGAGCTGGGAAACATGCAGCTCTCTCTGCAATGGGGGAAGTTATCAACCAGAATTTACTATGGTTCTTCTAACTGTATGTATGTGTCTGTTAGAGGAGGTGATAGCTTTACATTTACCTCCAGTAACACTATCCTCAGAGGAGCAAAGGAGGGAAAGGTGGGAGGTTTCTCGGTTTGTCTAAGGGGGTTTATTGATGAGTGCTGATTGGTTTCCTCTATAGGAACGTTGGACACAGTTTAGACAAGAGCACCACCAACCAGTTAGCTCTGTGATATCTATCTAATGAATTGTAAACTTGAAATGACTTTCATTGTAGCTGATGAGCTGATAAAACAGCCAGTGATTGGTTGTTAAAAATCTAATGTACCAGTAACTTAGAGATTCACTTCCATACAGGAAGCCTATATTCTTATCTTCAGCTACCACAGCATACATGTCAGATTAAATAATACTACTTATTCTTCACGATAGTGCCAAGGTATTACTTTATTGTATCTCTTATATCTGTTGGTTGTACTGTTCTTTTTATATCTCTTTGCAGGTGATGAAGCAGACTGATGTTTTATCGTTATTTCCCTTTCATCTTTCTCCTTTTTTCTGTTTTTCCTTTCCTGTTCTACTTACATTGCAGTGTCCATATAATCTGTCATACTCCCTCCCTTAATTATAATAAAGCTATATATCTACGCATTAATCAAGTGGAACACTATGGCGTTAGCCGTACTGCTCCACTTGCGAAAGCAAAATCTGTTGGGCCCTTTTTTGCATCAAGACAATTATTCTTATTGCCACATTGCCAGACAGGACACTGTTAAAAAAATATATAGAAAAAAATGTAATGTAAAATTATGTAATATGTGGGTTTGTTTGAGCTACAACTGGGGGTAGTATATTGCCAAACATCCCACATTGTGAGGACCTACAGGTCCAAAGTAGTCCAAATGGGGACAATCAACAGGTCCCCAAATGGTAACGTTTTCTCCTTTGAGTTGGGGGGTAGGGTTAGATTTAGGTATCTGTTGGTTGTCTATATGATTTGTATGTCAATGAAACATCCCTGAAAGTCATGCAAACAAAGGCTGTGTGTGTGGATGTGTTTTACCTACAATGTGGGTGCAGTATTTTGTAAAATATCCCACATGTTGGGACTTACAAATACATATGGGGACATTCAACTGGTCCCCATATTGTAAAGTTCTGTCCTGTGAGTTGTGGTTAGGGGTATATTGGTAATAGTTAGGGCTAGGGTAGAGGTTAGGCCATATAATATGGTTTATATGGTTAGGCCATATAAAATTAATGCAAGTCAATGAAATGTCCCCATATATCATGAAAACACAGAGTGGGTGTGTGTGTGCACGCACACATTCTTGATCCCCTTACTCATCTTTATATCATATTTATATATCATAATTTTACCTGATTAAATCTTTAAAAGTGATTGATAAATATCAGTTCATCTAATGTGTTATCTTATGATAATTGTGGGATAGCAAGCTAAAAGCTAAAGTCAGGTTTTCTTCTTGGGCTAATATTGTCTGCTATGCTAAGTATCGGTTTAATTAGCTTTCTTTCTAATCCAAAGCTCTAAAAAGCAAATTCTGACATTTTGAATTGAAAAAGCTTCCTGGATTGGAAGTGAAACGTCTTCAAACTGGGAGACAAAGTCCAATGGACTGCTTTTTAAAAAAAAAAAAACTTTTTTGGAATATGCTAGGTAGCTTATATGCTAATCTTGGGGAAAACTAAAAGGAGATAGATGCCCACAGCAATCTACAATACCTGATAAAATTTGAATGAATAAGCTACCAAGACATTGAATTTATTTTGAGGAATTAACCAAGTATTTTTTTTTTATTATATTATTACTAACAGCAACATGTTAAGCCCATATCAGCATTTTAATAGGCTAGCAGAACTTTATCATTATATCAATATACATGTTCAACTAAGCTGCCAACATTAGCTAATACATTAATATTGGAAAACAGAAAAACACACATTGTCTGTTCATTTTATTCAATGTAGCATTAGCAGAAAAGTCAATTACTTTTATTCAAGCGTATTTTGGTTGAAGAAAATATTTTGAAAGGTGCTAATTCACTTATTTCACAGCTGGAGAAGCTGCCACATCACTGGTTGTCATGGTGACTGTTGTCTTTTAGGTCAAAAGACTGAAACAGATTTTTAGCCCTTATCTGAAAGATGAAATCTATGATCCTATCTTAATGCAGACTCAAGCTTACACCTGACAGTACTTTCTAAGTTGTTATTAAAATAAATTATCAAGGTCAAACATACCAACTAGTCATCAAACCTGATCTAAAAATAAGTAAAAACGAAACAAACTAATTATTTTTTCCCTTAATCTGAGTAGGCAAATGAGATGATCTGCCAAAGGAATAAGTATCTTAGTCCTTAAAATATCTAATTAGATATTATGCTGAAATAAGATAGATAACAGACTTTTTTCTTACTCTAAACATAAATCATCTTATTCCATCTGCAATGTCTTACCTACACGGTTGAATCAAGGCAAAGTACAGGCATGTCATTAAATAAATTGATTCATATTTCAATTTTTGCATTGTATGTTCTCTAGGGGGCCATAACAGTGACAGTGGCCCCCATTTAGAAGCAGGCATGGTTTTATGTCCATAAAATATATTTGAACGACGTGAGAACCTTGAATACAGATTAAGACGGCTACTAACATCAGCTTGACCTCCATATGTCATGGAAGGTTTAAAGAAGTTTTCATTTCTCTAGATCTGCTCTGAATCAAAGGCAGAATCTATACTGAATAGTCCTACATTTTAGGCAAAAGAAGCTCAATTAAAGAAAAACATGGTTTAAGCTGTAAAGGTGTATTAACTTATTTTAAATTCAGTCTTTCCTCTTGTCTGTAAACTTTAAATGGTGTTTCTGAGTAACTGTGCAGCTTTAAAGGGGTCATAGAATGATTCTATAGGGTATTTAGTGCTGGTCCTTTAGGTCTCTGAATAGGGTGTGTAACATTGTTTGGGCTGAAAATGGCATATTTGCTGTTCTATGAGCCCTAATGAAAGCCTGGTTAAGAGCCCCAGAATGAAACGACAGGTTTTCTTCCTTTTATGGTGTGCTCATGAATATTTAGATACGCTGTGCACTGATTGGTTGGTTTACAACGAGCAAAGCTGCTGAGCAAAGACGCATCATAGCAACAAGCACTCAATCACTGAAACATCAAATTGTTGATATGGTAGGGTGACCAGACGTTCTCTTTTTCCCGGACATTTCCTACCTTTCATACCTAAAAAATATCCGGGGGGGAATTTCAAAATCGTCCAGGATTTTGTTCGACGATAGTGCAGCATGTAGACGAAACACACCGGGCACTCGAACCAAGCCTTCAGCTCGGGGGCTGGTCTGGGAACCTCGGCGGACGGGGGCAGGAGCGACCGAACCAGACCGGGCCTTACCGGGCAGGCGAGGGGAAGGATGGGGGAAAGCATACCGCCGGAGCAGCCCCCGAGCTGATGACCTTTTCAGAAACCCAAATCTGGTCACCGTAGATTTGCCAGCATTGCTATCAACAGCTTAGCGACAGAATAATACTGCCAGCTTGCTGTTGTGATGGTGTTACGGTTGGAACAGCCCCTCACCTCAGTAGAAGAGGAATAGCAAATCCTGCTTTGAAACGTCCAAGATTTTCAAAGCTGTCTTCGGTAAAATGCTTAGAGCAAATGAACAGCTGAGCACCAAACTTTGCAAGGATCTTCTGATAGACAAAAATAATCCATGCCTGTCGAATCTTCAGATCCTTGGGAAGACTCAAATTTTCCCCTTTCTCTGTGCAGCCTGGAACACTGCAGTTACGCCTGTGGTTCTGGCTCATTTTCAATAAACAAATCTTGTACAAGTAAACCCAACTGTAGGCCAAACAGCTAAACTGGTGTCTTACATCTACCTCTATTCATGTTCTTGGGCCAGTGAACCAGTGAGCTGGTCTGTATGTCAATTTCGGGGTGTGAAAAAAGTACAGGCCGGAACCAGCAACGGAAGCAACATCCCCAAATTGACGTCAATTCAGGGCTTCGTTTGCTTTCGCCTGTTTTATGGTGGAAGTTTAGAATTGTGAGATTTGCAGAGAAAGGAGATGTTGATGGGGTTTGAACTTCTCTGTACGTCCATTTCACCCACTGAACTACTGTATAGTTATTCATCTATCACAATGTAAGCTCGGTTTTGCATAACCCCTTTAAAGAGTTTGAGTCCAAGTTTATGTTGACATCTAAAGCAGTTTTTAATAGAGTTCTTAAAACCTTGAACCAGTGCGTTCTTATTAATATGTAACAGAGACAGGTTTAATAATAGTTTATATCAAAGCACAGAAAAACAAACAACAGCGACTGTCTTTAGGTGTTTGGAGTGTTTAAATAAGATCAGTGTTGTTGATCAGAGCATCTATAACTACAATCGACTTGTTTGGTTTCAACAGTTGAACAATGTCACAAAACAAAAACTGATTTAATGTCTTATCCTTCAATCTGCTGCAGGTAAGGAACGAAGCGCAGCAGCAGCTGTGAGATCTCCACCAGAGACGGCGACTGAAGCTCCTCAGTGTGAGGAAGAAGAGGAGGCAGACAGCATGAAGGAGGAGGATGGTAAACCTGTTGAACAGGAAGCAGTTTAATACAGGAAAGCCACAAATATATTTTAAATGTAGACACAAAACATGACACAAAGAGGTCAAATATGACCCACTTTCTTCAATGTTTTGGCATTAAATGTGAAAGCAAGTTTTTCTGTTCAGCTCAGAAGAGATCAGTGCCGTTCTTCGCCTGGTCCCTGCTGGAGTCTGTTGGCCTGACTGACATCCAGCTGCCAGAGGTTAAAGGTAAGCTGGATCCATCCGTTTGCACGTTTAACCTGAGAGCATCAATGGCCGGTGAAATGAGCCGTTTCAGCTGTTGTAATGTTTCCTCCAATCAGAATGTAGTCGTTCCTTCAGCGTTTATAGCAGCGATGGAGGAAGCCGGCGGGAGATGCCGGCGCTGGGGGAGATGCTGCACTGCCTGACGGGACGCTGCCCCCATGAGTATGAGATGTATGGCTGCTACTGTGGACAGGAGGGAGGAGGACAGCCTCTGGACCAGCTGGACAGGTGAGGCTTCTATGATGGGAAGGAATACAGAGAGAAAATAAAACTTTTATGTCTTTTTGATTAAGATTTTCTTAAATATCATTAAGTTAAATGATTCTTACATGCAGAAATATATATATATATTATATTTTGTGAACAAAGCCTTGTTCTCTTATATGTATGATAAGTTTTCTGAAGAGAAATCTGAGAAAGATATCTTTATTTGAAAGAGATCTTTTATCCATCAATAAAAAAATATACTGGAATGGTGTTTTCTTTCCTGGCATCGGCTGATCAAACTCTATTGATGTGATTTTAAGCACTGAAAGAATCCTGTTATTCTACCTCTCAGGTGTTGCTTCTTCCATCGCTGCTGCCTGAAACAGATCAGCTCCATGGGCTGCAGAGCAGACAGGAAGCTCAACGCTCGAATTTCCTGCGAGAGCGGAAACAAACCGCGATGTGAGTGAGCCCATAATGCAGCAGGGCAGACGCATGCTGCCCAGTTACAAACCGGTTTAACGGGGCTGAAAAACCCCCAGAATCATTAATGAAAAAGTATTTTGAAATGTTTACCTTTATTGTTATGCTGATGATGCCCAGTTGTACCACTTGTTGAACTTTTATGTTTATCAGCTGCACAAGCTGTAGGTGTCTTAATGTAAAGATTTTGATAAACTCCAGTTTTCTTTTATTAAATTACAATAAAAGCGCAAAGCTAATTTATGCTACAGTTTTAATATGGGAACATAGGACATTTGTTTTAGTCAGCCAGATAAAAAAGGGAAAATAGACGACATGCTTATAGATGCATCAACGCTGAACTACTGTGGTGTCAGTCTGCTCATCAACAGATGTTTTAGGCATAAAGGGTAAAAAAAGGCTTTTTTTAATGACAAACTCTACAAAATGTCTCTTTAAAGTTAATATATTAACCAAAAACCAACAACAGAAATGCAACAATTATTCAACACACTACAATTAAAGATGGTTAACACAGAATCCTGGCTTTTGTAGACTTTAATTTTTATGTTTTATACAGAGTGTGCCTCTGTAGTGTTCTGTAAAATTACATATAAACTGCCCAATCAGTTTTATGTCTATATTATGTAGAACCTGAGATTAATTTAAACAGCATCCATGTTTAAATAGGTGCATACTGTAACTGCTTTATTGAGGGCCTTATGAAAATCTGCTGTCTTTAATGATTTATTTGGAAAATATGGATGTTGCGTACTTTTATTTTCCTGTTGGTTAATTTTAATCAGTGTAGACTGACCCTGAAGTGGGATCGCCTCTGAAGCGCATAAATCTGGAAAGGAATTAGTAGAGCATGAATTTAAAGGCAAGTCTAACAGTCAGAGGAAAAAGGCTAAAACCAATCAGATTATAATTGTGAAGCGAAAACATCTTTTAAAAAAAGAAAAATTATTTTACAGTAGCTGCTTGAAATTTCAAAAACATATCTGGATCATTGGGGACATAATAAAGGGAATCATTAAAATGTTGCTTCATTGTAGCTGCAATTCTGACTCTAGAATTACTTGTATTACAGCAACGTTTTTTATAACCATAAAAATAAAGGTTCTCCCATAAGAGGAACCCTTTATTGGCTTCTCTTCATAGCAAAATATAGTTTTCTGTTCCTCCTACTCTAAGCTATAAGAATGTTTAAGAGCCCCTATATTTAAATGAAGCAGTGTTGCTACAGAGTTGCTTAAATATTTGTTTCATGCCATCTTCTTTTGCCATCATTTGCAAGTTTAGTGATGATTTTTAAAGAGTTTATATCTTTTATGTTAAGCACTTTGGGTTACTTTTAGAAAGTGCTTCATAAATTAATAGATGTGAACCAGGAATTCAATTTTAAAAACCCTGACAAACTTTCATATGCTCTGCAGGCCAGGGCATCACAGCATGCGATAAACTGCAGTGTGTTTGCGACAAAACCACAGCAGAATGCATGGCTGCGGCACACTTTAACCACAGCTTGCCATCACAGCGGTGCCGTGGACCTGCGCCACCCTGCCGCCGAGCCAGCAGACCCCCTAAACCTGTCAGAGTACCCCCACAGCCCAGCGGGGAAAGCAAGTGGAGCAAACAGTCGGAGGAGATTGAACCCAGTTCCTCTGCACAACATCATGACAGGTGAGCTATTGCTAAAGCATTCATAGCTGATTTCATAGTTTAAAAATACACTCATCTAAACTCAGGAGCACCTCAAGGTTGAGTGTTTGGGTCCCCTTTCTTTTTTAGGTTTCTGTCATTATATATCATCTTATAGCACTATTTAAAGGGATTTTATTGGTAGTAGGGTTACAAGAAAAGTTATAAGTAAGTAGGTTTTAATTCAAGTTGGATTCATTTAACTTTGAGTGAGCAGTTAGTCCAAAATCTAGATTATATTCTTGGCAGAACGTTCACCAAAGCAACTTGTTATTCCTGCTAGAAAAATATTTGTTCTCAAGACAGCATTGATATGAAAAACCCCAGGCTGTAATTGTTGCCAGTTGTTGCTTAATCTTACAAAAAAACAAATTATATGGCTTTAAAACCACTTTTTTCCATCTTATAGTTGAAATTCATTTCTGTTTCAATAACATTCTGATGCTCATCTAGAAACTAATTTTATATATAACTAAAAGGTATTTTACCATTTACAGTGATCAAAGCTCTGATATGATGAGTGGAGAACAGCCAGATCCTCCTGCTGGATCATCAGGTACCCAAACCTCTTCTCCTCCCTCTGCCTCCAGCGAGGAAACCAGAGAACCACCAACGCTAAGTGGCCTCGACCAAAGACCAAATCAAGACCAACCACTGGCTCAGAGACCAGAGGAGGAGGAAGAGGAGGAAGAGGAGGAAGAAGAAATTGAAGAATATGACCAAGATAAAGAATATGAAGAGGAGGAAGAAAATTGAACAGCAACACTTTGGGCCACTGTTGTTTAAAAAAAAAGAGAACCATGAAGATAAACAACTCAAATACTTTAATAGAAACATTTTATTTGAACCTTAACATTACAATACAACACATTCTGAGACATTGTATAATGCATCGAGGCTCCGCTGCATGACACGGTTCAGGAAACACTTTAAGTTAACCGCATAGATGGAAAAAAGAAACACTTTCTTTACACCAGCTGTTTTTTTTTGGAAAAAGTGCAAGAAAAAGTAAAAAGTTTGAAAACTTAAAAGCCAATCCTGACCTCAAAATCTGAAACTGATAAGTGCTTGTTTAAAGCTCAGCTTGGTGTGTCAAGAACATTTCCTGAACCGGCCGAAAGAGCCGAGCCTTGGCGCCATCTAGTGGTCATAAATCAACGTGTTTAAAACACATCGGAGCTTCAGCATTTTATCTTTGTGAAGGTGAACACACACAAGACATAAATATTTAGATCTGGCACAAAAATAAAAAAATGCTGCACCACAGACAGACAAGAAATCAACGGTTTTGCTTTCGACACATTGCGGATCGCAGCCGATGAACTAAACAGGCTCCACCCTGGGAGGAGAGCAAACATTCCCTGTATACAAGCATCCCAAAATAAGGCAGGTCTATTATCTAAGTAGAGATTTTTATTATTTTAAGACCAACTGAACATTCATAATAAACTCATTTGAAAACATCCATCCGTACTAAAGACATCTGTGCTGATCGTTTGTTATTGTTTTTTTTTGCTTCAGTACCGCATTACAGTGATCATAGTGCAAACATCAGAAAACACAAGCCGTTTGGCATCTGAAATGACTGAGTGAGCCGATTCCTTGTTTCCCCACAGCTCAGATCCGTGCATCACTTTATTCTGGAGAACCTCTCCTAAACGTCTAATACTGACAAACGTTATTGTGCAAGAACAAAAAGAAAACAAAAGTGGTTTATGGTTCAGGTTTTAACTTTCACTTCAGGTAAATTTCTTTCAAATCAGTGTTAAAGCAGAAAAGTTCCTTTCTGTGCTGGTGCATCGATCTTAGTTTGGGATCCTTTAAACAATTTAATGCAAACAATAGGGGGACAAAAAAATAAATAGAGGCAACATTTCTAGATTGCATCTAAGATACAAAAAAAATACATTCCTAGAACAACTCTTTTAAATTGATAAAGATAAAAGAAAAAGAGCATTTCCCCTGCAGATCCAACGGCTGCATGATCCGCTTCAAACCCAAAACAATGATGTAAACGTCAATAAACGATAATTCAGGATTTCCAGCGATACTGATATGTTTTGAATCTCTAGCAGGCAATAACTGAACCGTGTGATGCATAAACGTACAAAAATATATGATCTGCTGCCTTAACGACACGTTCCTCATGTGTTCCAGCCACGATGGGATTAATCCCGGCCGTGATCCCGGCTTTAGTTTCACAGCGATTCTTTTTAAAGCTCAAACTAATGTTCCAGAGAGGAAACCGATAAATGATGAGCTCTGGTCCAACGCTGGTGAGTCGACATGCGACATAAACATGGTTAAAGTTAGTCAAATGGATTAAAGTTCATATTTTAGAGTTGAAGAAGATAAATGGCTCAGTTTCCCCCAACAAGTGCTCATGCTGGATCTGTATATGTCCGTACAGAAGCTGGTGGATCAACAGGAAGCTTGAAGAGAAGATATTTGCAACGATTTTATGAGGCACCAAGCAGAACACTCAAGTATGACTATGGGGCTCTGCAGGTGCTTTATACAACATCTGTAAGGAATCATAGAGCTTGAAGCAAAACCAAAAATCTATTTTTCCTGACTCCATTCTGAGTGTTTTCAAGTAGCCTACACTCTCCATTGCCCAATTTACAAAGCTTACCCTATTAAACCTATACGGGTAACACACATTTGTACCACTTTCAAGGATCTTACAGGTCACTTTCCAAAACCTTACTGTCCCTAAGCATAAACCCTACTTTCCAGTACTTTCCAGGCACCTGGAAGGGTCAAGGTCAGGTGTCTGCTGTAAGTACCGCCGAGTCTGATTATATCACCGTGCATATTCCTGGGAAGCTCAAAGAAAGTCATCTGACAGTAGTGAGAGTGGGCTGTATTAAAAATTAGTGCTATGAGACAGTCTGATTGAATCTTTTTTAATATCTATTTGTTATTTACCTCTGCAGTCAACTTAAACTGTAGCTACGTGTGATAAATGTTTGATGATTTAGCATTTCCTTGCAGAAAAGGGGTTTAAGAGAGCTACTAGTGGCCATATGTGGTATTACACTGTTAGGGACTCTTATGATCTTTAGAAATAATTGATTTCAAACCTTTGTATCCATCATTAACAATGGTCAGTAGTTATTTTTAAACACCTAACTGTATAACTTTGAAGTAAGAGATTTTCTGCTTATGTAGCTTTTTTTTCTCAGATAAACCAGACAACTGCTTCCAAACAGGCCTAGTTAAACCAATCATCTGCAGTTCAGTTATAACAGGCTCAGGCTGGCAATTTAAAAACCGTATACATCCATAATTGGACCGTTTCTCCTGCCTGAAACAGCTGGAAGAAAAGGTGGACTTTCAGCCTGACACTGAGCCAGATTGAGCAGCGGCAGCAGGTTTCCCCTCACGCTGAGTTTAGATTAGAGGAATGTTCTGATAAACCATCTGTTTTTACAGATCACAGCTGCAGCCTGGGCTCATGAAGCCACTCAGAACTAACCTGGGCGGCTGTTTCACAACAACCTGGTCACTGATTCTTAGATTTCATAAGCTTTAAAGGACTCGGGGCATATTAATGCACCCTTAATTTAAAGAAAGATGTTTAAAGGACTGATCAAAGCCTTCATATCTATAAACCTATAAGCCACCCTGCAGCTACAAGGGGGGATGATCGATTCATACTTTTCAAACCCAGCTCACAAAATCCTGGTGTAACTGTGACAGGAAGATGAGAGCTACTTAAAACCAGACTATTTGACTGAAGAGCCTTAATAAGAACATGTCCAAAGAGATCCCCTTTGCCTCTTTTTTTAAATCAGCGGTTTCATTTTAGCAGTAGCTAGTAGCCAGACTAGCTAGTTTTATGTTGCAATATTTTACATTTGAGATATACTGCCCCCTTTTGTTCATGCATGAAATCAGTATTAAGGCTGGAGAGGGGCACCCAGATTAAAGGTACTAAAGTTTAAAAACTAAAAGAGAATAATCCGGTTATGTAGATTTATAGCTGCGATGGTAGATTTATTTTTAGCTAAGGTTTACAAAAGTTGAAAACCTGTTTTTTAAGTTCTGGTAAGATGGGAAATTCTTAAATACTGCCACCTACTGCTGTTAAACTGAACTGCACTTTAACAGGTAAATACAAAAAAGGTTTTAAGTTGGTACTTTGCTCTGCTTTTATTTTCTGGTCAAAATCTATATGAAACTGCTAAATAAAAATGAAAAATTATAAGTTTTGTGCTTATTGATCTTGGAAGTTTTAATAAACCTATCAGACTGAAAGTAAAGTTGACCAGTTTTTACTTTTTTAATCTCACGTTATACCATTATTTTTAACAGCAGTTGTTGGTTGGAAAAATAACATTTTAGTATACCATCTTAAAATGTATTTTAGTTAATGAACTGAGGGGATAATATGATCAGGTTTTTAAGAAACTGCTCTTAAAAATTTAATTTTTAAGAGAAGTTATAAACAAATTATATGATGATTTTGTTCCATATTTATTTTGTAAGGAGATTTTTTTGTGAGTTTTACTACCAGAACACTTTATATTTGGATAATAAAAATGCCAATACTGCAATGTCTCGTAAAGATTACACTATAATTAATATCCAAATAAGTAAGGGCAAAGAAGATGTAGCAAAATCTGATGAAAGAATTATTGCAAAAGTTACACATAAATCTGGAAGGAGCCTTTTAAAGTGAACTGTGACCTTCTGTGTTTTACCCGAGCTGATATGACAATAAGCTGACTGTGCAGATATTAAGGAGTTATTGCAGGAGATCAGACTGAGCCGATCGTAACGCTGATGTTAGCCTTCATCTCTGAGACTGCTTTAGAGTTTACTTTTCTACTAGTGGTCCACTACTGTTTATCTGTTAAATAACTGCTAAAACCTGTAGTTTTATTTACTTATTTCTTTTCTACAAGAACATTTTTATACTGGAGTTTATCTATGTGAAGCTGGAGCGTCGGAACGTCAACACGGAGCTTAAAGCGGTTTCTTTTGTTCTAGTTTTTGTTCTTTACAACTGTTTTGGTTCAGGGATGCGAGTCAGAGAAACAACATGCAGCCGCTCTGCTGGTTCATATTTGATGCATGTTTGTGTCCCTGATTGCATCCCTGCCACCTCAGAGAGAAAGTGTGGAGGTCGCCCTCTTTCCATTCGGTTTTTCCATCATCTTTAATGATTTTGTTCAATAGACGCACAGGTCTGGAAACTTCATCTCGTAGACGGGGACGGATGGATGCTGGGTGTGTCCCGCTGAGATAGAAACCACTCCAGAGGGGCTGGGGGGCGGCCTGATGGGAGGCAAAGCGGGGGAGAAAAGGGGAAACTTTACATTTATATAGAAAAAATACAAACATCTGAGACAGATTAAAAGAGCTGGGAAAGTTTAAATGGTGGTGAAGTTGGAGCAGAATGGATGAGGCCAAATTTTTACATAAATATTTTGTTCTTTCTAAATAATACTTTTTTTTTTTTTTTAATCTCAGATAATGCAGTTTAACTCTCACTTGAAATGCAAGTTAAAAATAAAATAGTGGGGATTGATGGTGAGGTGAAGAACTTACCGGATCGTTAGTTCAAAGATCTGAGCCAGACGGTCGTGGAGCATGTTGGCCTGGTGAAATAAAACATTTCAAATCAGGAGGAGACCACTATCTGTCTGGGTATCACAGCAGTCATTAACTAACGTTTTAGCATCTGAGCTTAGGTTTCAGTGTTTTGGACTTTAGCTTTCTGACACGGTTCTTCATCCGCATAAAATCTAAAAATAATCACTAAAAGGTTCCTGGATTATTAGAGCAGGTGGTTGGAGGACATTGTGATCCTGCAGAGGAAGCCCACTACGGCTGGATAAGAAGTGCAGTCTGCTGAGCACGGCGGTGGAGGGTTTATGATCGGGGCTTATCAACATTTTAGAATTAAAAAAGTGAAATAAGGAGGCTGAAAAAGTTACAGACTGTTTCAGTCTCATTTAAACCCAGCTTGCTGATGTCCTAAAACAGCTGCTACTAAAACCAAGCAAGTTCTGCTGAAGCTCTCAGCTGGAGGTTCTGAACGATGCAGAAAGCCGCTCTCAGCAGGTTTCCTGCATTAAATGTCTTTCTGGTATTATTCATTAATAGCAGCAGCCTGTTTGTTGAAGGTAAACATCGCTAACAGAGGAGGACATAACATCTGATAGAACCAGGCTTTCACAGCTTCACCTCTGCTACAACGACATGAGGTTAGCTGAACGATAAGAGCAAAACTAAAATAAAAAGAGAATCTAATGGAGTTGGTAAAACACAGCTTTCCTGTTTTTGCTTTTTTTGCACTAAGAGTGCATCGCCTTCATTTCCCACCTTTGACTCGCAGTGAGCAGCAATTTCCTCAAACGGAGCCTTCTGGAACTTCTCCATCACCTGACGCCTCTTCTCTCGCTCCTGCTCTTCCAAACCCGTTGTATCTGGAAGAAGACACAGAGATCTCTAAATTAACATTTAACTGATGGAAAAAAAAAAAAAAGAAAACAGCAGCCAGGAGCTACTGATTAGATGCACTCATCCTCGTCTTTTTACCAGAGCACAGATTGTTGCTTACCAAATCAGGGCAGAAAGACATTAGCAATCAGATTGAAGAAGAAGAGACATTTCTATAATACCTGAAGTTCACTGTTCCTCTGAACTAATAGTTATGCAAAAACACAAAACAGGTCTGTCAGCAAGGTCTGTCAGCAGGTTAAAGTTCATGACAAGAAGGTAAAAAAAAGATGCAGGTTGGACTAGAGAGGCCTGAAAGGATAAACCTTGTTGTTTTTTTTATGATATTGCTGCAGGAATTCAGTTTGCAAAAAACCTTTGGAAAAATGTTGACCATGTTAAAAACATAAGATAGTCTAACATAGATAGATGTAAGCACTGAGGAGGACTCAGTTTCTAGGCTTAACATAATGAAAAAAGTTACATTTTAAGGCTGTAATCAATTATTACTATGTTATTAAAGTGGAGGATCTAGTCTCCTGAGAGAAGTTGATGACCTTACCGATAGCCTTCTTCAGAGTCTCAAATGTGATCTCCTCAGCCAACTCCGACTGCTGATGGAAAACAAACTAAGTTATTCTGCAGAACCTCTACATGCCACATTTTAGAAGCTGATGCACAAAAATAAGCTAAAAACATTATTTTGTCCATTTAGAAGTAAAACTGCGTCTTAAAAAAAAAAGATACACACCCTATCTGGGAGGCTGCTGGACAACATGTCCACTTGAAGGGAAATGGTGTCCACAAAACTCTTCCTCCTGGTCAGGCGGTCTTCATCTGTTACAACAAACAGACCACAGGAATGTTATAGATGTTCCATGTAGCAAAACAAAACAGGACAGTTAGTTGCTTCCTGTCATTCGTCTGATCTGTTCTCAGCAAAAATGCTGGTCAGAAGTAGAACTTTTAAATCTCTCTGTAGGGTGTTGGTCTGTTAGGTCTCCAACCTGTTAGGTTTCCTATTTCAAGTTAATTTACGTAAAACATTAAATATTTAGGCTTTGAAAAAGCAAATAAAATCAGTTTAAATGACATTCATTGACTAGAGTATATCAAAAAAACTCAGATGCTTCAAAAATGAGTAAAATTATGCAATTTCTTTTTTTTTTTCAAATTAATTGTTGGAAAAAAACAAAACAAAGAATGTTTAGGTAAAAAAATACTTTTTTTTAGAACATTAAATAAAAGCACAGTAAGATAAAGATGAATTCAATTAAAACAGCAAATTTAGGAGCTTCCAGGAGGAAGATAATCATATTTTATTTATTTTCTGCCATTAATCTTTTTACATTTTTGGGTTCATTAAAGTTTGTCTCTGCTCCCAAACACAGAATCCCTCCTCCAGGTTCAGCTGTGCTGCTCTGATTTTCCACAGGGAGCAAATCGGAATCTTCCGAGCCAGGAAAAAGTCTCCTGTGAGGTTCTGAAGATACCCGGAGCTGCTGCTGTTTGTTCGTCTGCAGGAAGAGATTAAAGTGCAGCAGAGTTTGACCGAGGAGGGTCAGACGAGGTGTGAAAACAGAAGACAAACACCGAGCGGCGGCAGCGCTTTATAATTAACTTTGTCCATGAGTCACGCCGACCTTTGCTGTGAACTCCGAACAGGAATGACTCAGCAGCCGACACTAATGAGGAAACTCGTCCCAAAAGACGAGAGATTAAAGAAGCACAGAAAGCCGGGCGCTTACTTCTTTACTTCTCTGCTGTACCTCTGACATTTGCTCTCCTTTATGTTTCATGAACTCTTCCTGAAGATTCACAGTTTTTAGTTTAATCTTTTAGAGAAAAACCAGAGAAAATCCTCTCAGGCTGAAAACCAACAGTGGGCATGTGTCTGAGCTAGATCTTTGACTCTGTTTAAGGAGAAAAAGAAAATGGTTTAGGAACCGGCCTCACTACAGGGCTCCTTCTGAAAACCAGGGGTCGCTACAGAGCTGAGGCAGAAAACAGCAAACATACTGACTGTCTTACCATAACAGCTCCATGATAAACCACCAATAAACCGTCCTTTGCAATCAGTGCCTGCAGCTTTTGAAATTGTAAAGGTTGTTGACAACAATATATAAAGTTAGTAGGACAGAGTTTAATGGCAGCAGATGCTCAGGCTGGACACTAATGACATTAACTCAAACACTGAAGGTCATCGAGTGATGGAGGCACAGATGAGAAGAAAATAACTGTATATCACACCAAATATCATCATGGCAATATTTACCATGAAGATTTATTATCTGCTTTAAGATTTTTTACTTAATATTATGTAGCCAGATTTACGGATTTATCCAAACTGCTAATAATGGCTACAACAAAAACAGAACAGATGCAAAGCCTCGAGTCCCAGCCCATTACCAAGTCAACAGCTTATGTTAGGAAAAAAAACCTCCTGGTTGATTCAGGTTCGAGTCGCCTTTTCACCTTCCAACACAAAATGAAAACAGCAGATCTACAAGCCTACAGTTAAAAGGAGCAACCAACCTATTCCTCCCCCTCATCTCCACAATATAATAGCAGCAATAAACAGGCTTAACTTCTGGAGATTAGAGGCTCTACATTAGCAGTCGTATTAACCTCATCTTTCCTGAGTTTATTAAAATGAACATATTGTGAGGCCTGATGTTACAAGACATGTGAACAATTAGATAACTAATAATAATTCTGGTTAAAAATCCACTTTAAAAAATCTAGAATCTTCTCCTAAGGATGTTATTTTATTGGAAAAATGTGAAAAAGTTTTTCACTTAATGATACATAGTAAATCTAAGCCAGTATTACCAGTATTATCGGTATAAGCTATTCGGTTGGTCAATTTTAATAAAACTGTAACAAAGAAAAAACTGGAAACCTACTAAAAGTGACATTTAATATATTCAATAACATTAGTTGGAAGCTCCAAAGAGGCAACAGGTATAAAGGTAAAAACATTAACTCTAAACTAAACTGAAATGATTTGAATATAAAAATATTCAAGGCGCTATTCAGCAGCTAGATACACCCCAACATTTGCTACAGAGTTCTATTGCTCATAGTTGAAGAATGTTTTTAATAAAACTTACAGCCTCCATTGAGCCACTGTTCAAATCTTACTGTATCTCCATGACACCCTGACATAGATGCTGATGCTGCTGTGCGCTCCCCCTTCTCACTGCTCCCCAAAAATGGAGGAAATCACCATAGCAATTAGTAACTAAGAATTTTCTTATAGTATTGTTAATAATTTATTTATTTTTTTACCATAATTTGTTTTATGAAATTTAAGTAGGATGTTGGTTGTTTATATTGAACAATAAAAAGTCCCATAAAACTCAAACAGAAATGGCAAATTGATTCTAAACTATAAACACTGATTGAATCCAAGCACAATGAATCTGTCAGACTATTTATGGGTGCTCTACACCATGATGTACTCACCATGAGGAGCCCAGATGCAAAGCAGGTGAAAATGATTTAACAGGTTATTAAAAGTGTTTTACAGTCCAACTTCAAACACATCAACAGCTAAACGTGTTTGGTTTTTAATACATTTCCTGATGAGGTTTGGATGTTGAACAATTTAAAAGCTAAAATTAAAACTAACTCTTTTGCATCTCTCTGGCAAAATATTGAAATGTAAACATGAGGATATTAAATGAATAAATAAATAATCCCCATGTTTTGAAGTTTTTTATACAAACTTCCTGCTTCGTGTTTGACGTTTCTTTTTTTTTTGGGTCTCTTCTTTGCTGAAGTTTTTCTGTTCAACAATCTGTCCAAACACTTGAAAGTCTGATGATCCAACGTTTTCTGGATCATCAGACGGATTGTGGCTTTCTCCAGTTCCTCTAGAATGGGAGTCGGCAACCCATGACATGCAGCTTTTTAGCGGCTCCCTGGAGCTTTTTCAAAAATTTATGAAAATCTATTTTTTTTTTTGTTTTAATATGGTGTGCAAGAGATCAAACAAACATTCATTATGCTGTCCAATGCTGTAAACATTTGTATAATAAATAAATTTAAACAATAATTTGCGTCATAGCCATAGAGATCAGTGGTCATAACTTGCACCCAGCACGGTGCAAGGGAAACAAAGCGGTGGGTGTGTATCGGACTATGGATTCCAAAGGGAAAAAAAGGAAGATAGCTGATGAGAAAAGAGGATTCAAATAGACCGAATCATTTGCTTTCATTATCAATGCGGAAGGATTGCCTGCATTTTTTGCTTTGTAATGAGAGGTTTTCAAAAAATTAAAAGAAAAATTTGGAAAGGCATTTCTAAGGAAGCACAGCTAAATATGCACCAAGCTGGGAGGGAGAGAAAAATGTGATTGCAGAAGTTCTGGATAAATTAGACGAGAGCAAAGATAGATTTAACAAGTGGATTGCATCTGCAAACTCCACTACTGCTGCTAGTTTTGTTGCAAGCATAGAAAACCGTCCACAGATCAAACAGGTAGCACTCTGATGGAGGGATGGGAACTTTCTTCTGTTTTTTCCCCAAATTCTAAAAATATAAATATCACCAAGGAACGCTGGTGATGGAGGATGTGGGATTTCAGGGTTAGAGAGCTCTGCTCTGATGGATGTCAGTTCCTGCTTGGTTCCTCATGACTCAATCAGCTCCTCCAACAGAAACACGTCCACCATAGCGAGATTCCTTTATCGTGTTTCTATAATTTCATCAATGCAACAAAAACTAAACCATGCGGTGAAGGGTAGCGAAGCGGCATGCAGTGAGAACATTCACTGCTCCTCTCTCACCTCATGCTATGCTATGTGACATTTGCTCCAGATAAACATTTAATCATGAATGGTTATTGTATATTTAAGCCCACATAGTCCTTTTCTATAGTGGGATAATAAACTTAGAGCCCGTGTTGCCATACAAGGCTTATATAAGACTTTTACATTTTTGCAGCTCCAGACAGATTTATTTTTTGTTTTCTTGGTCCAATATGTCTCTTTGAGCAGTTTGGGTTGCCGACCCTTGCTCTAGAAGGATGATTTCACTTAAGGCCACATTAAAGCAGGAAACATTTCTACATCTATGCATTTCTAACTCCTACTTGAGTAATAACTTTCTGACATAATGCTCCTCTTCCACCTGCAGTAACTTTCAATAATAAAGAACAAGCTAAATTTAACCAAAACTTGCTTAAGACAAAGACACAAACCTCCAGTTTGGGAGGCTTTATGAGAGCTTTTTAAACACTCTGTTAATTTGGCAATTTGGCCTAATTTATTTTTTTCTTTCAGATTTTATTCTTTAAAGTGACATAATGTAAACAAACTTAAACCATATGTAATGATCAATCAATACTTCGGTAGCTGTGCAACCAAATACTTTTTTTGGCCGACTTCTTTCTACTTGAGTAAAAAATTCAAAGTGCGGCCTCTTTCATTTGAGTACAACCTTTGGTTTCTCTACCGATATCTGATGAAACCTAACTTTGAATCTACAGAAACTTTTTTTCATGATTTTTAAATCAGAGCAGAATAATGGACAGCATGGGCAGAGCGTGTTCAGGCCACTGGAACCAACCAATCAAAAATGTCAAATATTAATGATGAAAAAACTCTACAAGCTGATTTCTAGGGATGTTCCACTGTCTTTTTGGGAGGTGGGGGTGGTTTACAACAGGAAACTAGATCTACAGGGATCAACTCCAGCTCTAGTTCAGCCGTTTACCTCTGGATGTCTGCTTGCACCTGTGGATGATCTTTCCTACTGTGTAAAGCACTGAACATGAACACGTTACAGAAAGAACAGAACGACCTTTGGTTAGAACAAAAATCAACATGTTTATCCCAATCTCCAAATAAGCAAAACACATTTAAACCCATCTAACTTTAAAATAATGTACCTGAATCAATGTCACCTTTGAGGTCTTATAAAAAAGATAAGGTCTTATAAATCACCATATGTTCATAACGATGCAGTTGATATTTTACCAGAGGGTACTATCAGATGGCCAGAACGTAACAAGGACTTTCCCAGAACTTTGATAGTAATACAGGGGAAAGTCAGAATCTGCAACATGCCTCTTATCAGGTTATGAATTAATTTTATCCAGCAGGCAAACTACTTGCAGAAGTAATTTCTAGAAAGCATCCCATCATTTCGATAAGACTAAATACTGTTTATGTAGAACTAGATTTTGCATCGGTACTTGGTCACATTTGAACACAATGGTGAAAAAAAATCTGATAAATTCAAATAATTTAATTGTTGAATAATTTCTGTTCAATCCAACATCAACCCTTGTATGTGCACAGTATGAATATAAGGGCTTATGAAGAGGGGATGAATTTTACCTGTGACCTGGGGAATGTACGGAATGGACAACCTCTCCACGTTGTACCCTGGCCCTGCCAGACACTCGGCCATGTCAGCTGTTTGGAAATACAGCTGTCTGTCATCCTTGTCCAAAGAGTCAGGAAGACTGTAACAACAGATAAAAAAAAAAAAATCAAAAATATATTTAGACACCAAAAAGGATTTAAGGTTTCTTTTCCCTGAAGATCATAATTAGAGGATTAGAAACTAAATTAAGACCTTATAACAATAATGATCTATCAGTCAAGCATGACTGTTGGACTGCCCAACGATCCTTTGGTCAGGTATGATGATAGGAAAGCCCAGTAATCCTTTGGACAGGCACAACAGTAGCGCTCTAATGATCTTTTGGTCAGTACAATGGTAGGCCTCCCTAACAATCCTTTGGTCAGGCTCAATGGTAGAATTTCCCAACAATCCTGTGGTGAGGCACTCCATAGAACTCCACAATTATCCTTTTTTCAGGCACAACGGTGAAAAAGCCTCAATAATTTTGTTTAGGTATGATGGTAGGACTCACTAATAATCGGTAAGATGGACTAATGATCCTTTGGTCAGGCACAAGCATAGGACTTTCCAACGGTCCTTTGGTCAGGCTCAAGGGTAGGACTTCCTTATGATATTTTGGTCGGGCACAGCGGTAGGACTACCTAACCATCCTTTGGTCAGGCTCAATGGTAGAACTCCCCAACACTCCTGTTGGGCCTGTTAGTAGACCTGTGAGATGGACGAACTAATGATCCTTTGCTCAGGCCTGTTAGTAGGACAGACTAATGATCCTTTGCTCAGGCCTGTTAGTAGGACAGACTAATGATCCTTTGGTCAGGCCTGTTAGTAGGATGGACTAATGATCCTTTGGTCAGGCCTGTTAGTAGGACAGACTAATGATCCTTTGGTCAGGCCTGTTAGTAGGACGGACTAATGATCCTTTGGTCAGGCCTGTTAGTAGGACGCACTACTGATCCTTTGGTCAGGCACAAGGATAGGACTTGCCAACTGTCCTTTGGTCAGGCTCACTGGCAGGACTTTCTTATTAACTTTTGGTCAGGCTCAATCGTAAGACTCCAGAACGATCCGTTGGTCAGGCTCAATAATAGAAATCCTCGACAACCCTCTAGTGAGGCATAGGGTAGGATTCCCAAATGTCAGGCACAAATCCCCAATGATCTTTTGGCCAGGTACGATGGTAGGACTCCCTAAAAATATTTTGGTCAGGCACAGTGGTAGGTCTCTCCAATTACTTTTTTAGATTTAATGTTCACTTTGTCTAATTTCAATTGTCAACTAATTACAAACTTTAAATGTAAAATCTTTGTTCCAGGATGCCATGGCTGATCTTTGAACTGGTTTCAGGAAGCATGCTTACATAACTCCTGTTCTCTCTCTACTGTGTTCATGTTTTCGATTTTGGTTTGATTTAAAAATTTTATTACTAACTTTAAGGGGTTTTAAATAGACTGACACCCTTGTAACTGTCAGAACCCTTTTCTTATGCACATCCCTTTAAGCGCATTAAATGTTGAATAACCAGACACTCCACTTTCCATTACATTTTGTCACAGATTCCTCTATTTTTAGACAGTTTTTTTTCCTTCCCTGTTTCTTTAACAGTTTATAAAAAATACGATATTATGTTGTTCTATGCCAAGTATCTCTGCATTTTACTGCACAGCATTTCACTAAATGTACTTAAGTATGGTGCATGAATCTTTAAAACATAAGACATGCAAACACCATTGAACAAACTGAGTGTTAGATCGATAAAGCTAGGATTGACACCAGGCAGAAGAACTGATAGATGGATGGACAGATAGATGGATGAGTGTCTTATTTCACTGCTCCAAATGTAAATCATTCCTGTCAGAAATCCATTGTAGGCAATGAAAAAGCTAATATAGGTAATACTCTTGAAATACAGTTATTTTTAACCAATCTCTCTAATTTTGCTATGTGTGTCCAGACCAGAGAGTATTTGGACCTAGAGTATGTTCCATTGGTGACCATTGAACACAGACACCATCCTGAACCCAAACTGCTGTCCTTTATCCCAAACTTCCATTATTTTTATTGTACTGCTCATCGCACAGCATTGCAAGGCACTTAGCCTCATAATATAATAGAAAACTTATAAACATATACAACTTATAAACATACTTATAGAGGACAGCCAGACGAGGAAGACACATAACAGAATTTCATGTTGACAGTGTTTCTTTGTTCCTTTTTGCATTGAGGACTTCTTATATAATGTCCAACCCAAATTCATTTTAAATTGAAGTAAAAACTCTGCAATAAATTAAATACTTACGAACACTTGTCTCTAAATATGTGTTCAGGCAGCAGGTAGGGGGCATCCATGCTTCTCAGCTCAATTACCTAAAGAGGCAACAGCGAAAAATTACCAGAATTATCAGTTGAAAGATACTTTACAGCAAAACAGGAGCGGGAAAAAATGTTGTAAAAACAAATAATAAAAGAATCAGCAGTACTTCTGGTTGATGACACACCTTACTGACATGTTGACAGAATGGTGGGTTGGCGATCATCTGACTCAGGAAGTTGAGGTACGCTGCCACGAGTGCCATGATACCACAGCGGATCGACATTGGCATGTTTTCCTCGTTGTTTAGAGCCATGTCCTGCAGAAACCAGAGGGATGGTGTTTCTTCATACAATCTAGACTCCCAGCTGTAACTGAATGTATCATACCCAGCTGGTGGGGTAATCCTCTCAGTTACTTGTTTTTAACTAGATTACAGAGTTTAAGATGACTGGATACATCGGGCAGACAGTTGAACGTCAGCTAGTAAACAATGTTGGCAAAAAGCTTAACATTGTTTCAGCTAAGTGATCCATCCCCAACAAAAAACCGGAGTTCCCAAATAGTAGTTTAGTGATAGAAGGTGGTCCTCTGGTGTTTCTTTTTAAAGCGTTGCATTGTGCACCTAGATCCTCACAAAAACAGACTGCATGCATTAGGTTTAAAAGAATTACAGCCTTTTTTAAGCAGATGTGAGTTTCCTGACTGAAATATGCCCTACCCTCCTCTAAACTACAGGCTACTCTATCTAGTTTCTGGAAATTTAACCTAGATGCCTCTCTAACCTACAGGCTACATGCTTCTCTCCAGAGTTGGCTAGTAAGTAGCTACATATACTCAGGTACATTTACACGAGGAACCTTTTAGAAGAACTTGCAGGTCAAGTATTACTTTATTATTCATAGTCATAATCTTGTGAGTACTACTACTCTTACTTGAGTAAAATCTCTGGTTACTCCGTCAACTACAAGTAACCAGAAGTTGTTCATCTTTTCTTAATATATATACATTACTTACAATAAATATTGTAATAAATTATTTATTTAGTAATCATGTTATTTGTTTTATACTTTAAAATTCCAGATTTTGCACATAACTGCCTGATTACATCATTTCATTAGATCACATCTCATTCAGTACTTAATACCAGGTACTTCTTCACTCTTACTGGAGGGATTTCTTAGGTAACAATCTTATACTTTTACTTGTGCTAAAAAGTTTAAGTAGTATGAATATTACTTAACAAAAACCTTTCAAGTACTCTATCCAGCTCGGCTACTTTCCAAGGAATTTACAGATGTTACTTTCCTGGAACTTACAGAAATCATTACAAAACAGGTGATTGTGTGTAAATTGCATCTTCATGAAGTTTGTCATATTCTCTTGGAGCCACAACCCCATAGGAACCCTTACATTAAAATGACTGTGTTTGTAAGCTTCAGATGTCAAAAATCTTTAAACTAGGCTGTAGTATTCAGATTAGTTCAACCTTTTCTATAACTAGTCGCTTTAACAGCTCATCATGTATTGAAATAAATAGTGTCTTTTACTATGAAGGGAATCTGCACTTAAACTCTTTGGCATCTCATTAGATCTACAGCTGACAATGGTCCCACAGTTTGTCTGTTTGAAACATTGTATTGTTTACCTCGTAATACTAAAAACACTGTGTAGTTTAGCTTAAAGTCATTTTCCCGGTGAATAACCTGGATAGAAAAGCGTCACCTGCAGTGCAATGGAGAGTCGGATGAGGTCCACGACCACCTCCTCATTGGCCAGCTCGATGGTCAGAATGGCCAGAGTGGTGAAGAGCAGCTCAAAGTTTTTGTGGACGTTGTCTTCCTCTTTGCAACCCAGATAGACGTGGCGATAGAGCTGCTGACCATGCTGCAGAGAAAAGAAGGAGGAACACAGATTAGTACATTTATGAATAGACACATTTAAATGATAACATTTTCTATTTTAGCCCCTTAAATCAGCCACATTTACTGCTGAGTGTGGCTGGGGTAAATCGTTTGAAAACAAGTTTCTTTTTCTCTATTATTTAATTGATGCATTTCAGGTGCTTTATGTAGGGCTACTTTAATATCCCTTCATTATTTTTCAGACTCAAAATACAAAGCTATGAAAAAACTTCACTCTGAATCTATTACAGAAAATTTTATCAAGGCGAGACTCTGAAAAGGAAGCTGTTAAATGCAAAGAGATGGATGATGGATGGATAGATGGATGGATGGAAAGTTAGAGGGAAGGAGGGATGGATGGTTGGATAGATGGGAAATAGATGAAGGGATAGAGGGAAGGAGGGATGGATGGATGGATAGATGGAGAGATAGATGGGGGCATGGATGGAGGGAGAGATAGAAGGAGGAAGGGATGGATGGATTGATGGGGGGATGGATGGAGAGATAGAGGGAAGGAGGGATGGATGGTTGGATAGATGGGAAATAGATGAAGGGATAGAGGGAAGGAGGGATGGATGGATTGGGGAAAGGATGGATGGATGCCAGATGCCTGGATGGTGGGATGGATGGAGGGATTGATGGGGAACAGATGAAGGGATATAGGGAAGGAGGGATGGATGGATTGGGGAAAGGATGGAGGGATGGATGGATGGAGAGATAGATGGGGGCATGGATGAAGGGAGAGATAGAAGGAGGAAGGGATGGACGGATTGATGAATGGGGGTTGGATGGAGGGACAGAGAGATGGATGGATGGGGGATGGATGGAGGGATGGATGCCGGATGGCCGGAATGTTGGGATGGATGGAGGGATTGATGGATGGATGGGGAGATGGATGGATGGAGGGAGAGATAGGGGGAGGGAGGGATTGATGCATGGATGGAGGAAGGGATAGATGGATGGAAAAGAACACACATTCGTACCATTCTATTTTGGGTTGCTTAGCACTGTTCCAACATGACTCTATCCCAGAATGACTCAGCAATAAAAAAGTTTCTGAACATGATCTGACCCTAAGAGGGAGGACTAAACTCAGACATACAGCAATGGCAAAAGATCAGCTGCTGCTGGCCTTCTGGTCAGCTTTAAAACTATTTCTTTAGAGGTTTTTGCTTCTTAGAAATCTTTAGCCATTGCACTTATTTATGATGGGGTTTATTTTATAATAAACACACCAGAAACAGGACCAGATGGTTCCTTAAAAGAAACATTACACTGTAAACAGACCAGAATAACACCTGCTAAATAAAAAAAAGACACCTGACAAAAACTAGTTTTTAATCCCTGTCAAACCTGCTAAATTCTTTAAGGTATCAGCCCACACGAGGGATCCAACTATTTCCTGGAAGAACTAGCAGACTGCGTTTGTGACGGCAGGACGCTGTTTATGGGACTGAACCAAACAAACTGCTGCGTTTGTGTTGGTGTTAATGAAGCGTCAGGTCTCCTGCTGCGGTGATGCGTCTCATTAATAGCTTTTGGACAGCAATGAAGCTCTGTGACAGTGAGGAATCACAGACATTAGGATTCCATCCACTGTATTTATTAAGGCTTATAGTCTGCAGGGTGCTCCAGCTAATGCGTAGAATGCGACCAAAACAAAAGACGGTTTTATAAATATTCTAACAGTTTAGCCGTGTTCCAAACAAACGAGTCAAAAACATGTCATCCTCTTAACATGGCAGAATTTACTGTCTTGTTTTTTTTTTTTTTTCCCGGTTACTAAACAGAACATTTTTATGTTTGGACATGCGGCCGATTCTTTAAACTGTGCAAGAAAAATGACCACCAGAACCTGAAGTGTTGGCAGACCAATGCCTGCTCCTCCAAACACTAAAACAGAGCATATATGGACAGAGAGGATTGCTTTCTCTGTCTTCAAAGTGTTTTTAGATATTTTAGTCACCGGACATTAAACTTTACTTTGTAAGCTAAAGCTTAAATTATTGATCCAGAGGTAAAAAAAGCACCAGAGCAGCTGCACAGCTCTCTCTAAACAGAGAAGCAAAATTATTTTGGTTGAAAGATTCAAGCTGTGAAAAAAAAAAAAGATTAATTCAATTAATTCTGAATAAGACTAAAAATAACCTTTTGTATCAGAAGCAGAGCTGATGGAGATTGCAGATAGACTATGAAATAAATGAATGTGCCGGAGCCGCTCGGGAATTCACCCGCTCAATGCGGAGGTTAATGGAAAGCGGAGGTCAGCGACTCCTCATTCACCTCCAATGAGTTACAGTTGGATTCCATTAAAGGCGGCTGGGAGCGAAGCAGAAACGCCGCTGTTTCAGGTCCTGCAGCCGCTTAAACACCAGGCTGTGGTTTGTGTGTGAATCACAGGTGAACTTTAACTTTAACGTCTTTATGGAAAAGTCACCGCTGAGGTGGGGGGAGGCCCCTCCTGTCAGGTCAATAAGCCCTGAAACCTTCTTAAGTGGAAGGCAGCCCCACATCAGGCATTAGAGGCTTTCATACCAGCATGGATCCAGTTTATGGTTCTGTCCCTGGGGTTCTTTCTACAACAGATAGATCTATGCTTTCTCAGAGACTGGGAAGTTTCTCTATTTACATTTTCAGGTGAGCTGTGTGATTTTCAGGGAGACAATAGTATTTAAATACTATGGATCCAAAAACTGCGAATTACAGCTACTTTGAATAATATGAGAGCATTACATAAATAAATGGTTATTGTGAGCAGGTTATCTTCCTATAGCTAATCTGATTTAACCTGAGTGATATGTGTAGAACGTGTCCGTCCGTGAAAAGGAGAGACGTTTAGTACAAGACTTTGAGCTGAAGAAGTTACGTGCCAGCTAGTACCCGCCTTCCATAATACGCTTTCAGCCACTCATAGCATTACAAAAGGATTCGTCTGCAGCTTCTTGAGTGTTTTCACAACTGGTAGAATAAGGTGATAAACAAAACTTGGACAAAATGGAAGAAAAAAAAGAAAAAAAACCTTCCCAACCAAAAAGGCAAAAAAGCCTTTCTCTTTGCTCATTTTCAAATGAAAAAATGTTATTTCAGCTAAAACCAAGTCAATTTTGGTATCAACAGGTGAGTCCTCTAGCGTAGCAACAGTTGTAATTCCTACATGTCCCACCCCAAAAAAACACTGCTAGCTTGTCAATGGACCAACCCGCTGGTTGTTTCAGAGACTGACGCATTGGAGGGAGTCTTTCAAGATGGATTTGTTGTGAGATTGAAAATTCGAATCTCGCCGCTATCCTGCTTGCAGCGCAAGGTTATATCTGCTTAGCTTACCTTCTTCATCCAGAACTTTGCACGACCCCACCGAAATCAACTTTTATCTACAGATAAACTGTGTAAACTGAGCCTAAAGTTTACACAGTTTATCTGTTTAATTCTGCAATTAAAACGGTCCTACTGCTGCCCTCTTATGGTTAAACTGTGGCTATTGCAGCTGAATTTTCCTCTTGGATTAAACAGTACATGCTTTCGTTCTCAAACAGTTCATGTTTTCATTTTGGTGCTAACCGATAACGCGCCGGCCCTCTTGGCCCAAGAAAGCTTGCCTAAACCTCTGGTGACGAGAGACAAGGTGTGGAAAAACCCTCCACCTCAAAAGATCTACATGTTGTATAACCAGCAGGATACTTCTGCTCCTCCTCCATACTTTAATATGTATAAGCCAGGCTAAATTAGCAGCCACTCTACCTCATCCTGTCCACACTTTTGTTTTTCCCATTGCTCACATACTGTAGCCCCGCCCAGTAGGGTTTCTTGGCCACAGCCAATTTGGTTATTTCACAAAATCTGTCCAAAGCTGGAGTTATTCTTTAACACAGAGGTGGGTATATGTTACATTCCTTATTGGTTAAGTTATTGATATCTTAAAAAAAAAATGAATTTCCCCCAAAAATTAAGATTAATCTTCACCAAGACACTGTTAATTTACCGACTGCTAACCTACATCTACAGTTAGTAAAACGTTAACCCCTGAAAACTGGTGCCATTTTTATTTCCATTTATTACCTTTTTCATGAACGCAACGTCCTGTTTAGAAATTTTCTCCCTTTTAATCTTCAGAGCTGCAACATTTGGGATAATTCTGCAAGAGGAAGAAAAAACAAACTTTGACCGTGAACCTAGTCTCTCAGAAAGCAGGAATTAGATGTGGATCGACAGACTGCATCGTTACCTGATGCCGCGTAGCTTGGCACGGTTGTCATGGCGATCGATGATGTTGTGGAGGATCTCCAGGACCAACTGTCTCAATTCGCTGTCCTCCATCAGCGAGATGGAGAAGAGCGGGTCCAGGAAGGGAGGGGGCAACGCTGCCGACATGGACTTGGACTTGAACCCAGAGGTAACCTGAGGAGGGAAGAGACCGGAACTGTCACAGATCAACAAGCAGGGGGCACCACTGAGCAAAAGGTCAGCTCGGCAAGAATGGTTAGGTTACCAAGAGGAAAACCTCTAAAATTTTACTTTCAGTGTCTTCAGTAGCTGCAGCATGACAATCCATTAAAACCAGAGATATTTTTAAAAAGTTTCAGATTTCTGGCTTTGCTTTCAGCAGCAAAACATTAAAAAAGGACGAAAACCTGGAGGGAGCAATCAAACAGCAAAATAATTTTTTCATCTCCAGCCTTTGAGCTAAACTTTGAGCCCACTGCCAATCAATGCCTCGAGTAGTTTTCACACCTCACAGATGAACCAGGAGGAGATTCAGCTTTAATCTTCAACCAGGATGCTAACCTTCATCCATCTTTGTTTGGTTCTCCAGTGGGTCAAACATCCACTCAGAGTCAAATAGCTGCAGCAGCTCTTTGGGGCTTCAGTGTTTGCATCAGTGCATGGGAAAGGATGCAGCTGGAGGTAATGGTTGAATACTCACTTGCACATCTCACACGCAATAGTATTGAAAGGAGCAGCAGCTTTTAGAAACATGCCTGCTTGTTTTTCAGGATTGATAAAGACGCAACTTAAATATATAAACTGCTGCCCTGCTTGTTTGCATCCCTGCAGGAATAATGTGGTTCAGCAGCTTTCAGATGGACATGTGTTTAGATCAACTTTGAAAAGGAAGAATCTATCTAGAAATATCCTAGCTGCTGTCTTGGCGTCTCTACTTGGTAACACCTGTACCTCTTCATCTCTTATGATGAGGTTCTCTGTCTTGGGGGAAGTAATTACAGAAGGCAAAGACTTAAGGCCCCTTCATCAGGTTTATTTAGAACAGAAATTAAACAGAGGCACTAAATTATAGTTCAAACTTTGGGGTAAATATCTTTATTAGAAAGTTTTATGTTTTATTCTTATTTCATAAGCAGTGACTGAGTTTATCTGATCAGTTGATGTAAAGTTTTAGATTCCTGCAGCTGGATTAGGGTGGACTTAGTTTTTCTATGACTGCAGTGAGTGGAGATTCGTCTGAGCCTTTCAGTGTGAAAAACCTCAGAGAACCAAAAAAAATCAGCTGCTTTCACCAACAGTCTGCTGAACGCCCTCGTTTTGAAAGGTTTCGATCCACAGCAGGGGTCATCACCTTCTGCAACCCGGGGAGACAATTTCACACACAGCCCAGCTTCCTCTCTTTGGAGCCACAGGATTCTTTTTAGTTATTAAATTAAAGATCAAAGATATTGTTTTAAGGTTTTAAAACAAGGGAAATAACATTTTACATAAAAGGAAATAAATTAAATTTTTGCAATAGAGGGGAAGATTTTTATATCAAACCAGAAAAACACTCAGAGAATGCGGACCTCCACCAAGTAGCTCATTTCCACCAACATATTGGGACTTTCACCTTAAGTTCATACTTATTCACAGAATCCTTCAAAGAATTCCTTGATCAAGATGGTGATACAGATCATCATCAAAATGTAATATTTTATTTTTTTTGCCATTCACAATATGCACCTCTTTGAAATTTTCATGAAAATCCACCCAAAACTTTCTAGTTATTTGAAAACAGACAAACCGAAAACGAAAACATAACCTCCTTGACGCAGGTAATTATGTTGAAAAAGAACCCAGTTTGCAGGTTAGCTTAACCTTTCAGAGTGATTCATGGTTGGAAAATTGTGCATCTATTGCATAAAAAAAACACATAAGGAGGTCGCATTTTTATCTAATTTATTTTTAAGGCTCGCTCAGTTCTGCAGCCTTTTGGGTCAAAGCCTTTAGAGCAGCAGTAACACTAATACTAAAGGAAACTAAAGGAACTTCAGATGAAAGATACTGAAGCCATGGATACACACTGTGGTGCTATTTTTTAAAATCACATCAAAGGATAGATGCTCCAACTTAAAACATTTAGACCGCGAGGAGGAGGTAAAAGAAGAGAAGGTCTCACCATGATGAGGGAGCTGAGGAGCATCGTCTGGATCCTCTTGGTCCCCTGGTGCCTGAGGCAGAGCATCAACATAACAGTCACAGAGCTGCAGTGATGTTTCAGTCCAATATCAGCTCCTCTAGAAACTAAACTCCTCACATATATTCATTTGCTTTTTTTTTTCAATAACATCATGACATTATCTCCAAACTAAAGCAAAGGGCCAGTCTGATATATAAAGTGTTAAGGGATGGAAGCATGATGCCGACAGGCTGCAGGTTCAAACCTATGCCTGCAGCAGTAAAGGAAGAACGGAGCATGAGGAGAACTGTGTTCATTTGATTTGGGATTATCCTCCTCGCTCTCCTGAGGCCTGATGCCTTTAGCTTGTCTCTCCTTCCTGGTGACCCCGAGGCTGAGAGCACTGCGGGGCATCTGGGAGGGCAGATTAAACTTTTAGTGTGAGTGTTTATCTTTTCTGAACATGTGCTACAATCATCTGCGAGTCCAGAATTAAAGAGTCAAGGCCTTCAACAAAAAAAAGTTCGTTTTACATCCTTTAGTTCCCTTCTGTCGAGTTCAGCAGCTTGTTTGGATCTCGCATAAATAAAACCAACACAGGGCAGAAAGTTAAACTTCATCAGATTCTAGACAGGGATGTAGGCGGACATCCATCAAATTGGGTTTTCTGTCTGTTACTGTTAAACTTTCCTGTTAGGATCTTTGGTGGTGACTCAGAAAGCTGATGAAGAACAGAGAGACTAAATGCTGGGCTCTGAAAGCCTCTAGAATCAGGATGATTCACAGTCTGCATGGGTTAGAGTGGCCATGTGACTCACCCGATCTTAACTGTGTCCAAGGTGTGGCAGGGGGTCCCATACACTGGCACTTTCCCCATGATGAACATCATGACTTCAGCTCGCTGGTAATCTGGCAGATTTCCCCCAAAAAACCCTGCAGAGAGGAACAGAGAAATGAGTCAGAGCTCAAACACGGCAGCGTTTAAAAAAAGAATTAAAAGCCCGGGTAGAAAAGGGCCACACCGATGGTCTGGATGATGGCGTTCTGGACGATTCGCTCGTCGCTCTCTCTGCCACGGACGGACGAGACGCTGCTGCTGGAGTTTCTCCTGGAGCTCTCGCCCAGCTCGAAGTCCACGCTCATCCTCAGGTGTTTGAGCAGAGTGTTGAAGACCTCCAGCACCGTCGGACCTGCCGTCACACACCGGCAGTTAGAAAATAAAAATAATAATCTGACTAGAATAACCGGAATCAGAACCGGCTTCATCCTTTGCAAAAACAAGGAAATCCTCTTTGATTTCATGCAGCGATAAAAGGAACAATATTTACATGTGTGTGGTTGCACAGTCATTTTCTTCCATTAGGTGATGATGGCACAATATGCTCATTATGTTTCACAGCTGACTGCTCAGGCTGTGAGGTGTTCAGTGTGTTTAGCTTGGGGCTAGTTTTAACAAACGGTGCTCAGTGGTGCAAAACAAAGGGAAAATGCAAAAACAATTTTAGACAATTTTAACATTTCTTAATTCAAAAATATCAACAGGAGGTCAAAACAGCCCAGATTCAAAGCATAGTAAAGGCAGCCTCATGCTGCGGGATCTTTTTATTTGCAGAGACTGAAAAAAACAAGATTTTTTATGTTTTTTTTTTGTAAACCAAATGAGTTTATTTTGTACTTAATTTTTTTTAACTGTCTTACATTTTTAACTCAAGTTATACAGTGATATTCACTGTACTTTGGTCTTGTGTAGTAGCTGAAAGTGCTCCTGAAATAATTATATATATTCTTTAGGGAATGTATTATGAGTGCGTTTGTAGCCTATGTGTGCATTTTTAGTTCGTTTTTGTTTTTTTAAAATGGCAGCTACTACTTTGCACTGCACACTTGGGTCCATATCCTCTAGGGCAGGCATCCCCAACCTCGGTCCTCGAGGCCCACTGTCCTGCAGGTTTTAGAGGTTTCCCTGCTTTAGCACAGCTGATTATAATGATTGCAGTAGACTAAAAGCCTGTTAATCAGCTTTCAATTAAAATCAGCTGTTCTGGAGCAAGGAAACCTCTAAAACCTGCAGGACAGCGGGCCTCGAGGGCCGAGGTTGGGAATGCCTGCTCTAGGGGACAATAAAGTGTATTCGATTCTATTCTATTCTGTTAACTCAAGATATTTTTTTATTTCAACAAATTACTGCTATTTATAAAAAAAAAAAATTTAAAAAAATAGACCACAGTGATCCTAAATTCTGTTTCTAGAGGACAAAGAGGAAAAATAATCACTATAATATTAATAGTATTACATAAACAATAAAATCTCAGAACTAAAGCTAAAACTTTTGCTTTAATTTTAGATTTATTGAAAAAGAAACACCAATAAATAGGTATCTGTTTACTATAGGTAAGGTATAGATAAAAAATATAGAACAGAGAATACATAGAAACCAGAGTATTGCAATATTAATAAATCCAATAAAAAAAGAAGAAAAATACTTCTAAATGCAATAGAGTCACAGGTTGCTATGGTGACTCCTGCCTTCATCCAAGAATGGGTGGAGTAGGGAAAATGGCTGAACTATTTAATCATGTTCTTTTCATGTGTTAACAGAGTCTAATAAACGCGGTTCAAAATGATACAATCTCCAGATTTAAAAAAAAAAAATGTTATAGAAAAAAAATAAAAATTACAATGAGTCATACAATCCAATTTTTATCAACCAGCTTAAGCGCTAAATAAAGCTTCTGGTATAAAAATCAATATAATAGCCTGGCTTTGATTATAATAGATAAAGATAAAAATATCAGGCTCTAACAAAAGTCATACTGGAGAATTTCTAATTATTTGGATCTTAAATGAATTTCTATTTGAGATTTAAAAATTAGTCAGAAACTCAACATTAATAGAAAAAAAAATGTGCTAAGCATTAATAATTGTGCTTTTGCACTTTAGTAATAGCAAATCTGGTAAGTTATGAGTTTCAAATAATATGATTTGGTTAAAATCATTTTACAGCCAAACATCATGATGGCTGTTAAATCAAAAAGTGCCTGGTTCTGATGAGCAGTAGCTGCATGTTGGCTCTTGGTCCAAATTCGAAACTATAACATATTCCAAATTTACTACAACTAAATTTAGTCTTGTAACAATCAGACACCTGCTACAAGCTGCAGAAAGGTGCAGGCAGCAGTAGCAGCAAGACTAATTTATTCTGTCACAGAAAGCAACACCTCAGATTATCATTTAGTCAGCGGCCGCCTGGTTCGCCCCTGTGGCCCCATGAGGCCTCAATGCTCTAAAAATTAGCTATATTCTTTAGCTACTATCTTTAAAAATAGAACGCAGCTCTGCAGATTTGAAATCCTTCATATGGAGACGCCAAGAGTTCCAGGGTAAATACCAGAAATAAAACATTTCACCCAAAAAAACTGTGACAAAACCTGTTTTTTGTTTTCTTTAATTAGTTTTTTTTATTAATAAGAGACTACTGCAAAGACTTTGTTAGCACATCACCTTACTGCTCTACACATCACTGTCAGCTATCACAACACGGCTAGAATCTGCAGCTCCCCACCGTTAGGCTCAGTTTAAAAAACCTACAAATAAGGAGGGACGAAACCAGAAGAAACCCAGAGATAAATGTGCCTTTCAGAACCTGAAACATCTTAATGCATAGTTTGGCTTTAGCAGTTCTGGCTGGTTAGGCATTTTATTTTTTTTTTTTAAAGGACTTGGATAAAAAAAAAAAAAGCTTAAAAACAATCGAAGATCTTATTTCTGTAATCATGGAGCTCAAACTAAAGTAAACATAATTAACTACTCAAACCAAATCAGACCTTTAAGGATTGAACTTTCAGGTTTCTTCTGGTCACTCCCTGTTTTTTATATTAATTAAAACCTGTGAGAATTTTAAAGGGATACCATTACGAACCTGACATCAACATGGACTTTTTCCTGCTTATCATATCAGCAAAATGGATGCTACAGACAGGTAACTGTCGCTTGAATTTAGGTTTAAAGCAAAAACATTAAAGGGTTAACTTTTTACATTTCAGACTTTTGAACAGAAATGAAGACATGAGACATATCAATGATACAATATCAGGGTTTATACATGAATGAGTAACTTTATTTAATGCTTTTTGATGCTCTTTTAATGATCTTAGAAATAATCTTAATGCCATCAACAAATATCCATGACTTGTGTATATATACACACGGCAAAATCCTTCACCACCTTCACCTCGTTTTCCCGCCACTTTGGTTAAAATTTGCATTTTAACCATTCTCTAGCCTTTTCTCCACCTAAAGCTACTTTTCCGAAGCATTTTATTTCCACGATTATCAACTTTAATGAATTCTAATGCTAATTAAGGCCTTAATTTAAAAAAAATAATAATTTAATGAATTTTTATGATTTTTAATGACCCGCAGAAACCCTGAATATAAATGACACAACAGAGGTCATAATGAAAATATCAGCTAATTTTAATCCAATTAGTAAGTTTGGAGAGAAATGAACTCTAACTTTTTTATTGTGCTCAGCTGTTCGCTTATCGGCGCTCAGCTGTTCACTTATGCTACATTCACACCTAAAGCAGCAGAGGCATCAGGAGCAGCTAGTTTACATGCAAAGTAAATAGTTGACGCGCATCAAGATGCAGCAAAATGTCCCGCAGAGCGTTTAAGAAGCTGAAGCAGCACATCGTGAGCTGCTGAGCATCTGATGCGCGGGACGCGCTGCAAACGCAGCTGCTGCTGGAGACACCGAAATTGAACTGCTCGACCCGCCACATCAACCAATCAGAGAAGCTGATCTGGGAGCTGGCAGGGAGAGAGACTATGATCGCTCCTCTGAAACAGTTAATTAATGCCTAAATTAACTTAAAATGCTGAAATCTGCCGGCAAAATTCTGTACATGAAAAACACCTTCCAACCGCCAAGAGGCGACCAGGCCAGAGGCTGCTGTTGAATGGGATTCCTAGTGACAGCACAATGCCGGTGTGTGGGGCTCTGAGCGGCTCCGACAGCGACATAAAATTTGTAGGCAGGATTGTAATGTAAACTGACTGCACAGATAAAGTTTTCAGGTGGACTTTCTCACTTAAAAACATATAAAAACAACTTTTTACCCACTGATCACAGCAAATATAGCTGCCATTGTTACAGGCAAAGAAATGATAGGGTAGCTCTGCCCAACGCACATCAGACCCACTTTTTCCACCGCGCAGCTAAAGCAGCAAAGATATTACTTAATGTCTTCAGTTCTGTTACAAACAGTATGCAGCGTCTTTAACAGCTCTATTTTTCTTTTCCAGAGACTTGTTGATGTCAGGTGAATAAGAGGGAAAAGCTGCAGACATTTTTAATCCAACCACACCGTATATGTTACTGTACCGAGCCAAAGATTAGGAGGAGTCGGGTTTTCACTTTCAAAGTTGAACACATCACTTCCTTTGGACTCTTGGATCATTCCTGTCCACAATAAATTTTATTTTTATTTTCCCCCAACACACAAACACACATTCAACAAAGTTTAATTGGAACAGAAACTGTTTTCATTAAATAAATCAAAGTTTTTAATTATCTCTTCTGGTCGGAGATTTTCACCTTCATTTAACAGAAATATTTTGTCATGGCAAATTAAAATGCTAATTTGTTTTCTGTTAATTTGTTTTTGCTCCTCTGTTCTCGAGGTGATAACCTTCATGCTTCAGAAATATAATTCAATTATCACATACTTTAGTAGGTGAAAGAAAAGACAAAGAGCAGTTAGATTCTAAGAAAACAAACTAATCTTAGGTTTTTGTCCACATTGAAAATCATCCATGTTGAGACAAACTGCAGTCTGATTATCTGCATGAAATCATCTAACTTTTAGCTTCAAATTAAATCCATATAAAGCTGATACTTAATAATATGGGCTACAGCTTTGTTTGTGGAAGTTTCTATAACCGCCTCTTTGAATAAATGTAATGTATTATTTTTGCTTTGGTTTCACTTTAATAAGTGTTTCAGTGTTGATCAGCCAACTGTGTATTCTGACGCCTAAATGTCAGGTTGTTTATCAAGGTAAATCGACTAATTTGCCATTTTCTTCTCTAACCGACTGCAGTGAGGAGGATAAATGAACTTTTTTTCTCTCTAGAGGGAGGCGTTTCTATTAACACGTCATATGAACCGTGACATTTTCCCCGCCTGGTATCACTGCAGTCCATTTAAAAATGAAATGCTCGCCAGCATGTCATCAATAACTGAAGGTTTGACGCACAATCTTCTCTATGAAGAAACGGGAACATTTCCTGGACTCACCCACGGACCCTTTAGCAGCAATGGCCACCGTCTCCAGCAGGACCTGGACGATACCGGCTCTGACCCGCGGCGTGCTCTTGTTGTTGGCGTCCAGGTGGTTCAGAACCTGCTGGATCACGTGGTGAGAGTGCTGAGCCTGGATGAGTCGGAGAAAAAGACAAGAGAGGACCAATTTTCAATAACAAATCCAAACTACAACTAAAAGAAATTGAACTGTTTTCCAATTAGATGACTGGTTCCTGTTGTAAAGCCATGATTTATGGCATGATTTATAATGTAAACTTTAAAATAATAAAATTTTAGACTGTTAAGGTATATTACAAAGAAACATTCCTGTTAATGTTTGTCTAATGTGTCTAAACATTGGAAGATGTATAGCTTCACTTATTGCCCTAAATTCCTCCACTTTTGCATCAAGTTTTTTCCTGTAAACCAGAAATCACTCAGAATTTATTTCGAGGTATCAGAATCAGGCCTTAAGAAATCAACTTATGTCTAAAGATTTTGTGTTAATTTGCCCAAATGTAATGATGCATATTTAGAATTTACCACCAAAAGAATTAGATGAAGGGCTGGATAACTAAAAGCTTAAATGCAAACCCTTTATGCCATTGGGTCACGATCTTGACATGGAACACATATTAACTTTTAGTTCCCATTTTAGACTTAGACAGATTTTATTTTGTCATTTTGTATACACAAGTGTAAACAAAAAGAAATTTAATTAAGAACAGCTCTCTAGAGTATTTCAAGTTCAGCCTTGATAAGTAAGCAGCAGTGATATAAAACATTTAAAAACCTTTAGACTGAAGATAAAAATGTTTGTTTAGTTTTAATCTTATTAACTTGTGAAAAAGTAAAAACAGTAAATAAAAGAGCACAGATAACTCCATGACTCCACTAATCAATTTTTCAGCCAAAAAGAAACAATAGAATCTGGACCACTTCTGGCTCTGAAGACGTTAAATAAAGTTAGGGTTTTGCTGCGGCACAAGATGCTGGACCACTGGAAGATCTGATATACAAGGAGTGTAATCATTACTCATATCTGGTAAAAATAAACTCTGTAAAACATCTTTCAGGATCGAGGAATTTGATCTTTAATGAGCTGCTCATCCTTTAGTGATGAAGGTTCTGCTTATTAAGACATTTTTTACAGCTTAATTGGTAAAAACATTTCATTTTTATTCAATCAAAAGTGTTCCTGATAGTAAAGCACCATCCTAAACCCCTTCCTCTAGCTACAGTACGAGAATAAAATCAATGTTTGCCTCAGATTCAGGTGATGACTTCAGTAACCAAACGTTATGTCGGCTACTGCTCTTTCTGAAAGCTGAGTATGAAACGGATTTCAGAATGTCATCAGACTCCGTTTTTAAAGACTGATATTATCCTGGTAAAAACATAGAAATGCTGCAGGTCGTGTGAAGGCAGAATGGTTAACAGTACTGACATACTGGAGTTACAGATGGAAAATACAATCCACACTCCAAGAATCCATCTCTAAGAGCAGAGAGGAGAAAGGTGCCCAAGGGGTTCATCTTGTTCTACATAGCAGCATCTTGCTTTCTTCTAGAGGTTTTATTTTCCTGGGGACACTATTGCGGCAGTCACAACATTTACTCCAGAACAAACCAATGACTCAAGTCTTTTCCAGCAGAAACTCCTATGAGAAATTGGAAGTGTTGACTCCATCACTCCTAATGCTGCCCAAGTTCTTTTAAAATTCCCGATGGGTCTTAGGTCAACAACTGTAACTTTTTACCCTAGTCTTGGCTTAACATGAAATACATTAAATGATTTTCAGGTCAATATATAGCACTTTGCGTGCATCAACTAATGAATTTTTGTCTTAGTTTATACATAAGACAGGTCACCCATTTACGGAGCTCCATGAAAGTCTGCTATCTTGAAACTACAGATTGTGGCAAGGGCTGAAATAGTACTAATCCATGGAATAACATTTCTCCTTGCTGGTAGTTCAGTGAGAGGAGGCAGTGAAGATCATTTAGAGACAACAACCCAACAGCTGAAAGTCTGCACTACTGCAGCTCAATGCAGGAACATGGATGTGCAGCAGCAGCACAAGAAACGGTTTCCCCATCTCCAAGAATGGGAAAAAAACTGAAAACTCAGAATACAAAAATGGAGGATAAAGGATAGGATAAACATCAGGCAAGCCTTCTCCCGGTGGAAGAAGCTAAAGATGGAGAAAAAAATTAAAAGGGAGAAAATTACTATGTTTCTCTTTGTCTAGTTAGTCAACTGCACTGCCTAAATTAGCGTGAAACTAACTTTTTCCATTTGGTTTAATTAGACAGTGTTGCCTATTACCATAGAGACCAAAACAATAGATGCTGCAAATGTATACTGATCGTGTTTGTAAGGAATTGTAGGTTTACATAAATTTATTGACTTCTAAAGCTGTGGTGAATGCAGGCTTTTTGTCACAGATTTCACTCTACTTTGGATGACATGTTACTGAAATGCTTTTTTGAGGCTTTTTGACTCATGGTGGCTACCGTTGCAACAATACGTGTTTGAGGCAGTGATGTGTGTCACTACCCGATCGTAACGGAAGCAAGATCTGTACCATCACCTCATTTGTGCATGCGCAACCAGATGTACATCCGGGTTGCCCTCGATTTTAATTTGTAAAAAATACCTGAATTATATTTTTATATCTGATATATAGTGTGTAATCTAAAGAAAGAAAATAACTAAAAACAGATCAAGATGGTGTAATCATATTTTGCAGGACTGCATTGAGCATGTCAGCTGATGATGTCACACAAGCTGTTTAACTGAGAAAATGTATAAAGCATCAAACTGTCTCAGAAAAGTCATAAAATATTTTTTTTAGAACTGCAGTGTCGCATTATATATTGATTTAAGGATAAGAAAAAGTACTTTTAGTACCATAATAACATTATGGTGACCTAGATGAATATCTGCTCACACACGCGCAAATCAGCCCATGGTGCGCATTGTGCTTCCGGTACGGATCTGGTAGTGAAAACCTGTAGTGAATTTTCGTTTCGTATACAATCTGTGTATACAAAATGACATTAAAAGTTGTCAAAGTCTAAACAGCTATACTGTGAGAAATTATTTCCACTAATCAATAGTTTACACTGGTTTTCTTTCCAAATGCAATGTTATTCAGGTGAAATTTGTTTTTGTATTAAACCTTTATTTAACCAGGAACGTCCCACTGAGATTAAATGCATCTTTTTCCTGTCCAAAGAGGCAGCTAAAGTTAAACAATAATTACCAATAAACCATGAAATAAAAATGCTATATAAATAAAGAAAAGCAGACAACTTAAACAAGTCATATCTTTACTTCTCTGTCTGAACTTTAAGTGTTTAGTAAAACAACTTCATTTAATGTCATTATGGCTACATAACAATAAAGACTCATGGTTCATCTTGAAGGGGGCAGCAACTCTCTCTAAAGTGTGGAGGTAAATTATGACTGTTCTCCCTTTGTGAGCTTCTATCTTGCTTTAACTTTTTGTATATCTAAAATATTTCTATTGCAATCGCTGAAGCATGTGATACACTTTCTGGAAGGCAAAAATAAAAAAAAATCCCAACTTATATCCTTATTTACCCTTTTTCTTTTACGGAGGATTCTGTAGAGAGTTTAATAGAAGTTACCTGGATGGAGTACATGATGATTCTGAAGCAGGACACAGCAAACTCATTGGGGTCCCACAGGTGGTGATGGTCCAGGTGACTAAAAAGAAGTAAAGAAAAACATCATCTTGAATCAGAACTATACACTGTATTCATCCATCCTTCCATTTTCTGTCACGCTCATCCCTGCTGGGATCACAAGGGGTGCTGGTGCCCATCTTCAGCTCTCAATGGACAGGTCGCCAGTCCATCGCAGGGCAACACAGAGACAAACAGGACAAACAACCATTCACACTCACACCTAAAGAGAATTTACAGAAGCCAATTAACCTAACTCATGTTTTTGGACTGTGGGAGGAAGCCGGAGTACCCGGAGAGAACCCACACATGTTCAGGGAGAACATGCAAACTCCACGCAGAAAGACCTAATGTTTTGTATAATATATTCTAATATACAAAACTATCAGAGGTACAGAGTTTTTCCATTCAAAGCATTACTGAGTTAGTGGTGGTAAAAAGATCAAATCCAGTTTATGAAGAAATTTTAGTAAGACAGTGAAAAAATATATCATGTTTATTATTACATTCTGAAGGCCCATTTCTGTTATCATGTCCCAGTTTACTCTTATGCAGTTATATTTAGTTTTTAAATTAGATTTTTCTAAGGCTGCAAAAGAAAAAAAACCTATAAATGATAAAAACAATGTTTTTACAGAGTTCAGCCACTTCACTTTGGAAAAAAAAAAGGAGGTGCTATTCTCAGGATTTATACAGGAATGAGTTATTCTAATTTAATACTTTTTAATACTCTTTTCATGCTTAGAAATAATTTCAATGCCATCAACAGGTATTCACAACTCTCATATATATATATATATATATATATATATATATATATATATATATATATATATACTGTATATCCATCCATTTTCCAACACGCTTCTTTGCCGAACGGCTGTTCTGTGCTGTTCTGCACAAACATGCGGAAGCAGTACTATCTGTTATAATATCGCTGCCAAAACTGTTTTTTATAACCTTTTTTATTTTTATTTTTATATATAAATAATGCATTTTAAATGTCACGATAATCACATTTAACTTTAATGCCAATTAAAGCCTTAATTTAAAAAAATAATAATAATTTAATGACTTAAGGATTATTAATGACTCGCAGAAACCCTGATTCTGTTCTATGCAGATCACTTTGATGATAGATGATGCAGAAACATATACGTCTCAGTCGGCAAGGGTTCAATTTTATTCATGAATTATGCTGTTGATAAACTTTAAAGCATGTACTGTAGATCAGGGATTTTTCTTCACCTTGAGATGTGATGCAACAAGAAAAGGTTGATGTAAAACAAAAGTAGATTAATGATGCAGGTCTACAGTTTAATCAAACAATATTCTCCTGTAGGGAGACGAGCAACAATAGTTTGCTATAAAAAAACAATGTAGGAGAGGAGCAGCAGATACAATCCCTTCCTTCCCACTGCTGCTCTCTGGGGACTTTCACCAGGAACCCGTTACTTCCACCAGAACTGTGGGTTTAACCCTCCGAGCAGATAAAAATAATATGTTTGCAGGAAGGAGATGTGAACGACACAAAGGTGGAGAGGGATGAATCGAGTCCTGTCTGCAGGCACTAACCCATCTTCAGAATAAACAAATCTATAGGTGGAACATGTTATATTGTCTGAAACAAAAAACACACAAAGCTGCAGGAAGCGTGCTGGATTAATTGGCAAAACTTTCCAAGGAACAGCAACACAAGTTAGTTAAGAATGCGTCATTCTGCCTCTATTCAAGGCAGAAAACATACAAAGGATACAGGAAACTACTCATCACAAAAAGTAATGATTGTTTTAAAAGATTATGGTCTAAATTATTTCAATGCTACAGAGTTAAGGACAATATTTCAAAAGCTTAACAATCTAAAGGAACCAGCTCCTGCAGCCATGTTGGTGTTTTTATTTGATACAAGCTTTCTGATTCAACTGCCAATTGTTAAAGGTTTCACTAAATGCTAATGTTCACTACAGACCGAATGGGTTAGGTGTTGCTGAAGCTAATTGCTAAATCGTGAGCTAACCCTCTCTTTGTTTCAGTTGGACCCGACCAGAACCAGAACCCTGGGGCCAGCTAGGCTAACGAGTCTTTCATCATAGTTTAATGCATTCTGAGTCATTATTCATTTTCCTCCATAAACAGAATGAAACTTCACTATTTTGACTGCAGTTAACATCTCTCAGATGTCAGGGTTTATTAGACATTTTATCTGCAGCTATTATAAAGGACACTTTTAAATGTAAAACTTCAAACATTGCAGACTTTGAACGGACTCTTAAACCCCTCTTCCCCTTTTATTTATTTTGTTTTGCTTATTTAGTTTGCTTTGATTCACTCTTCATCTGAATGAACAGAGAAACATTTATTTGGTTGGTGATTAATAACCATAGCCTAAACTAATAAATTGGTGAAAGACAACTGGATTCTTAACAGCTGGATTCAGGAGTCTTACCCTTTTAGGAAAGGGGCTAAAACCTTGGTCAGTAAGCAAATTACAGTTACAATCATACAACTGATAATAAATGAGCAGCTTTACCCTTGATTTAAATGACCTATTAATTAACTAACTTCCAGTTCTAGTTATTTAATATATTCATAATCTTCTGGTAAGCTAAATGGCACAATATATACATATAAATAAATAAATAAAGTGACCTTCGTTTGTGTGAAGCAACCAGATTTTGCCTTCATATGTGCCAGCAGCAGCAGCATAGACACACTGTGCTGCTGCCACACAGCTTTTATCATCTGTATAACCCATCAGCCGAATCTTCAGAAGCTTTCAGGCAGGTTGTTTTTAACACCACAGGACAGTTTCCACTTCTTATCACAGCTGCTGTTTTCAATTATTTTGGGACTTTAAGGTTAGCGCTTTAGGGACGAGTCAGAGAGAACCGGAGGGTCACGGAGAATATTTCAACCATCCGTTTTTTTAACCCTCACACACACAAAAAAAACAAAAAACACCATCATCAGACGGCGCCATCTGATGCTGCGCTTCTTTCAGCCTCCTAATAATTCACACAGGCGGAGCATCAGCATAGCGCTCCAAGTCTCTACTGAGGCATAGGCTTTGTTAAACTGAGGAGGAACTACCTGAACTAATGAGGCTTTATGTCAGTCAAAACTGGAGCGTCGACTCCTTCAGTCTGATGGATGCGACGAACGGTTTTACTTTTAAAAAAGATGAATAAATATAAATCCTGAACAAGAACATTCTAGATAAAGGTGTCTGCAAACATCAGCTTACTCCTGTTATCCCTAGTAAATGTTTGGTTCATGACTGATTAATGAGAAATAACAGGGTGGCCAACAACTGTGAGAAACAGAATTAGAAAATGCTGAGTCACCGATTGCTATGGTCATTCCTACCTTGCCCAGGGAGCAGGGGGAACCCACAGCATGCACTCTATAAGCGTTATTCGGGCAATCACTGTGTGATAACAGAGTCGTATTTTCATGTTTTTAAAAGCGGTGGTGGAATAAACCTCTGCTGGATACTTATACATCTTTAATTCATCCATAATGCTTCATGCTTCAGATCTAACAGTTTAAAAAAGATCTAGCATTCAAAGCTCTACAAGAAAAATAATGAACTGAATGGTAAAAGGACTGGATTAGAGCTGATGTCATTTGAAAGAAAATTATAGGTTGTGGATCAAAGCGAAAACAGGAACACATTAAATGTTAAAGGGTAAACTATACTTAAATCAATCGATATCTAAATGTAGTGTTTGTCACGTCATCTTAAGATATTTGTTAAAACATTCTGATATAAATCCTGAAGCAGAGCTTAAAACAAGATTAAAGATGCATATTTGAAGCATTGAGACCAAATCCAGTTTCTGATCTAAAGTTTTGACCTGTTGATGATGATCTTTCTGTAGACATGATTTGAGAGGAGATAAAAGCAGCCTTTAAAAATAAAAACTTTTATTGCTTTTCTGGCCTGAAATGTTATTAAAGACTAAGGTTAGGGGAGTTCATTCACATTTAAGAATCCTTAGAATAAAGATGGGTAGGGGGTGCTAACTTTTCCTCAGTAAAAAATACTTTGCTGATTAAATGTCTAAGATAAAACATCAAAATTTAAACATTCAGTCATAAAAACAAAGAAGCTTATTCATGTAACCTAGGTTCTTCACTGGATTGAACCCAGTCCTCCCACATCAACAACAAAGAGTGCCGTCAGCACCGCACAACTTGAAGGAATGTTGGACCAGTTTATCGACGGATCAGTTGATGGTTCAGTCACTTTGATCAAGCTGAAGCTCAGGTCACCATCAGATTTCCTCCGATGTCTCTGATCAGAGTTTGATAATTACTATCAGAGATGATCAGCTAGCATGTAGTGCTGAGGTGTCTCCCAATTCTGTGGGAAACTGGACTCAGTACAAATGTTAGCCGCTCTAGGTAATGCAGGAACACATTATGAGGCATCTCTCTTCCTCTTATAAAACGGAAGATCAAGAATTTGCTCTCAGCAGCCAAAAGAGATGTTAAATATCACAAAACTTCCTCAGAACAAAAGTTTTCAGAGCGAAACACTTTCTGACTGGCTAGAAGTCGCATTTAACAGGCTGTGTCCTCGTCTTCACTCTGGGAACCCTACAAACCCATGGATATTGGCTAATGTCATTCTGAACAGACAAGATCAGTCTTAAAATCACACAAGGCAGGGATATCTCAGATCATCTTAAGAGAAATCATTTTAATCAAGATCAACTCAAAAATCAGCACGACTATCATGCTGTGTGAACCATGGTGTTTCAAGCCGAACGGCCAATTGTTGGAGCGCAATTCTACCTGGTTCAAAGCAGCCATGTTGCTTTGTTAGTGCACAGCTGCCTCCAAGGCTGCAGATGGCTCAGTAAAGCATAAGGCTATATATGAACAGTGACTCCTAAGGATGCAAAGATGCTGAGAAGAAAGAAGAAAGAAAAGAGTCAAGGAAAGGAATTTTGTGCAAGAGCCAATTTTAAAAATTAGCTTTCTGGAGAGCACAAGTGCATACAAGTTCTACTACTT